GATCCCTGAATAGGTTACACACGTCCACTACCAACTGTTTTTGTTGAATTTGCAACTATTTGTTGAAAGATAATGTAATTTAATGTCAGGAAGCAAGAAAGTTGCCGTTTATGCTGTGGTAACAAATTAGCTGTTCTGGTTTTGTTTTCCTGGACAGTTGCAGCATTTCCCCAGCTGTTTCTGAACCAAGTGACTGAGTTTACCAAGCAAGATCTGCTGTCACTCTAATAATAATGCCTGTTGTCTGCCTTCTGTCTTCTTTTCCTTCCCCTTATTTTGTCCCTGATCCATATGCTGTGCTTCGAATGAGGAAGATCCTAGTTTTGTTTGACAGCAAGGCAGAGCTGTGGGTTTCTAACACAGTGAAAACACCAGGTAGGAAAAGCTGTGCTGGGGAAAACCACTGCCTTGCTGGGCTCATGCACTTCGTTCTACATTTGCATATGAAAGATTCTGATAACAATCTAGCGGAAGAAAAAGGGCAGGTGAGACAGGCAGGTTTCTGGCAGGTGTTTGTGAGCATTTGACGGGCAGGTGTCTGTAAATGTTTGACGAGTTGTTCGAGCTCATACCCAGCTCGTTGTTTACTCTCCCTGGCACTGCAGCTGCTCGTTCCCAAGCTCCCTGCCCGTGGAGCTGCCCTGGGCACTCTGGAACACTCCCCCCCCCCTCGGTGGGTGCTGGGCACGTTCTGGATTTGGGGCAGCAGCAGAACCGTGACCCGCAGTGCTGGGCGAGGCCTCCTGCACAGACCAGGGTGCTTCTTGTCCTCGGACCCTCTCACTTGTGCAGGTCCGAACTGGTGCTGCCCTTCCTCCAGGGCTGGGGCCGGGGCTGCCCCTCTGCACTCCCGTCCATCCCGATCCCTGCCCTGCCTGCAGGCAGCAGGGCACGGCCGAGCCAGGGGGCAGCAGGGGGTTTGTGAGGAGAAAGGCAGACCGGCCCATTCTCATGTAAACCGTATTTGTGAGGAGACAGGCAGTGCTTGTCACGGATCAGGGAGGGAGATAACGCCAAGGCTCAACCTGGCCGCAGTATTTCAGTGTTTGTGTGAGGAGCTGCTGCACACACGGTCACACTGCCTTGGGCTGTGTTCTGCACACACATGGTCACACTGCCTCTGTCTGTGTTCTCCTGCACACACACGGTCACACTGCCTCGGTCTGTGTTCTGCACACACACGGTCACACTGCCTTGGTCTGTGTTCTCCTGCACACACACGGTCACACTGCCTTGGTCTGTGTTCTCCTGCACACACATGGTCACACTGCCTTGGTCTGTGTTCTCCTGCACACACATGGTCACACTGCCTTGGGTCTGTGTTCTCCTGCACACACACGGTCACACTGCCTTGGGCTGTGTTCTGCACACACGGTCACACTGCCTTGGTCTGTGTTCTGCACACACATGGTCACACTGCCTCGGTCTGTGTTCTCCTGCACACACGGTAACGCTGCCTTGGGTTTGTTTTCCCCGACAATCCACTGCCGTGCTGCTCAGCCCTGTTGTCCATGGGCGGTGCTCTGGCACACTCAGGACCCCCCTGCTCTGGTGTTCGGTCCTCCCTGAGGACAAGGACCGTGCACACCCAGCCCCTGCTGCCTCCACAGCGGCCGAGCCGGTGCTGCCCGCGGGGCTGGGCGGGCTCCGGGGATGGATCGCTGGAGGGGGGAGGATGGCTCCTCCCGGGCATTCTCTGCTCCGCAGCGCTGTGAGACACGACAGCAGGCACGGAATGGGGAATCTGCTCTGAATCATCACGCTGTAGGAACCTTACGCTCACCAAACCACCTCTTGTTCCTTGGATCGATTCCATCAATAATTCTGGGAGAGATGGCTGAGCAGTGGTTTTGGCAAGGTGACACCGATTGCTTTCTCCCCATCTAGAGCTTTTTGGGTTGTGTGGCTCCCTTGGGTTTTACATTCCGTGCTGAGATGATTGTAACCCTTCCTCTGGGACGCCTGAGAGCAGCTGCTGTTTCTGTCTAGACACCCGGGCAAGGATGGATATGACGAAGAGCTGTTTTCCTCCTCTGGCTCGGGATTAAATCTCTCTGCCACAGGTAAGGTCTGCACAGGTTTATTTGCTGGGGTGAATAGAAGGCAGGGAAGGTTTCATTCTTCCTGCTGCCACTTCACGTGGAAGGGCTCTGCACAGATGGTGGGGGGTGCTGTGAAAACACGTTTCAGTGAGACTTTCTGCCTGAATTAACCTGCTCCCCCCTGCACAAATGACAGACACTGCTTGTGTAGCGGGAAATAGACCTTCCCTGGGAGACAGGAGGGTTTAACACTGCCCAAGTATTGTTCAAAGATGTGTTGTTATTCATATGCTAACTGCCGACTTGCTCAGGGATGCTCCCTGCTTCCCTAAGTTGCTCTCTGTCATCTCCTCCAGCCAAATATCTCCTTGTAACACTGGCAAGCAATTAACTATCATTCATAATTACAGGGTAAAAAGCTTTGCAAGGAAACTCTCTCATTAGAATAAGAATATATCAGAGTGCATTATACAAACCATACATAATGAGAACGTGTCATTTTCAAAAATTAGTGACTAAAATGAAGAGCCATGGGTGATTTTTAAGGAGATCCAAATGCCCCAAATATCAAAGGTATTAAGCAGTAACTCAGTGGAAAACTAGAGCAAAACCAAGAACAGTCTACTAGTACTTGGGCTTTGTTGATAAAAACAGCTTGTGAACACTAACAGCATTTACATATTAATGAATCTCTCACTGACCATTAAATAACAGGGTATCTCTGGTTTTTTTCTTAAGACCAGGGCATTTCTCTAAGGAAATGGATACGTCTTCCCAAAAATACCCAGTCAAAAAGCGAGTGAAAATCCATCCCAACACAGTAACAGTGAAATACACTTCTCATTATCCCCAGCCAGGAGAAGGATGTGAGGATGTTAATGAAGATCCTGGAGTATTTAAGGAGGATAATCCTAAGAGAAGACTACTGAGTGATGGGAAAAGGAGAGAAAGGACTTTTTTTGGTACAATAGACACCAAGCCAGCACAACTGCCCAAACCTGGCGAAGTGGGACAGTGCCAGCATTTTCCTGAAGGGAATGCCCTGCAGTCCAGGAGGACGTGGGCAGTCCTGTTCGGCTCTGCCGTGGCTCACGGCTGCGTGGCTCTCATCACCAGGTTGGTTTCTGACCGCTCCAAAGTGCCCTCCCTAGAGCTGATCTTCATCCGCTCGGTCCTGCAGGTGCTGTCCCTCGCTGTGGTGTGTTACCACCACGAGCCTCCCTTCGGCCCCAAAGGCTACAGGCTCCGGCTCTTCTTCTACGGGGTGTGCAACGTGGTCTCCATCACCTGTGCCTACACCTCCTTCTCCATAGTGGCCCCCAGCAACGGAACCATCATGTGGAGGGCGACCACCACGGTGTTCAGTGCCATTCTGGCTTTCTTACTCATGGATGAGGGAATGGCTCACATAGACATAGTTACTGTGGTCGGCAGCGTGTTCGGCGTTTGCCTGGTCATGATCCCCAACATTGTTAAGGAGGAAAACTCTTTGCTGAGCACCTGGAAGGAAGCTTTTGGCTACACCATGACCGTCATGGCCGGCCTGACCACTGCCCTCTCCATGATAGTCTACAGGTCCATCAAGGACAACATCAGCATGTGGACAGCCCTGTTCACCTTCAGCTGGACGGGGACGCTGTGGGGAGCGGCCACCATGTTCCTGCTCCAGGAGCCAATCGTGCCCCTGGATGGAGAAACCTGGAGCTACCTCCTGGCCATTTGCCTGTGCTCCACCACAGCCTTCCTGGGGGTCTACTACGCCCTGAGCAAGTTCCACCCCGCGCTGGTGAGCACCGTGCAGCACCTGGAGGTCGTCATCGCCATGGCCCTGCAGCTCCTCGTGCTGCGCATCGTCCCGGGCGCCTGCGACCTGCTCGGGGCCGCCCTCATTCTGGCCAGTGTCTTCTTCCTGGCGTGTTACAAACTCTCCTGGATGAATTTAAGGCAGCAAGATTATCAGGAGATTGTGGACTCCTCCATTAAATGAACCACAGCTTTGCTGTCTGAGTCTGGCTGTGACCATGTGAACGTAACTCATTTCAGCTCCCGTGCCCCGGCGTCGTGGCCAGGTGCTCTCTCTGCCATTTCAGTTCTCAGCTGATGTAGCAATGTTGGTGTTCCCAGACTCCCATGCCAGGTGAATTTGTTCTGCTGCACATAATGACTGACATTTTGTCATACACAAAAGGGCACCACACAGGGTGCATGAGCAGAAGCACAGGCTGGCCCACAGAAGGGAAGGCCAAGTCGCACATGTTCTTCCTCCCCTTCCCTGGATAAGGCAGTACAGAGGGGTTCACTGGTGACTCTCATTCCTGTGCACTGTGGAAGTAGGAAAATGAGCAGTAAAACCATTGCAGTGGTCCGAGTTCTCTGTAATGCTTCTTAAGTTTTGCCTGCAATATTCTAAATGAAGCAATGTTAAATTTCTGTGGCTAAAACTTATGTTTCCTGTGTGTATAGAAGTCAGTAAAGCTTCTTGTGCTTTGTGGTTAAATTTCTGTCTGAACCAATGCAGGAAGCCCAGACCTCCTGTAAGGGAAAGAGAGCCCCAAACGCTGAATCTCCAGTTGTGCCACAGCTGGGAAAGGTCCCCAGGAACTACAAGGTCTGTGATGGATCAAAGATCTACCCCTGAAGCAGAGCAAAACCCTTTCTATGGAACCACTTTTTCTAAAAGAGGTTTCGACTATTATGCAAAGGAGGGGAAAAAAAGGGAGAAAATAAAGATTGTGTTTGAGGTCAAGGTGTGAGCAGTGCTGGTAACACCGACCAGCCTGGAAGGCAGCAAGGACTTCAGTCAGGGTGCCTGGGTCCCACCACTGCAGTTAGAAAGCAGATCTACAAAAAGCCCCAGGGTTCTGTGGTTGCAAACACTGCTCCTGGCCATGCTAATGTCCAGCTGTAAAGAGAAAGGCCAGCATCCAAGACTCTGTCAGTGGTCTCCATGCCAACCAGGCCCAGCAGGCACCTCCCCACCCCAGCCAATTGTGCCTCTGTTCTGGGACGTGAGCATTTTCCAAGGAAAAATGCATCACTCAGATCACCTCAACCACTCCAGCTTCCCCCATGGAAAACACATTTTACTTGGAAAAAGCCACAGCAGCAGCAATTACTTTTATTCCTATGAATACCCCGGAGAGCAGGTTCCCTGACACCAGCCAGCCCAGGTCTGTGTGACACCCACGTCTTCCCACGTTGCTGACCCCCGGTGTCAGGGGGACAGGGTTCCTCAGGCACTGGCACAGTGACAGCTGCCCCCACCACTGTTTCCTTGAGGAGCAGGAGGAGCTGGCAGGAGGAGTTGTGCCCACTGCAGGAAGGACAGGAGAAAGGGGAGCAGGTAAAGCAATGTGGTGCTGGGAAAGCCGTGCCCGGCCAAAAATCCCTCTGGTAGCTCAGGGCAGGGCAGTTCCCAGCCCAGAATCTTGCTGTGCTTCTATCAGTTGATTTCTCTCTGGGGCAGATGGTCTTTCTTCCTCTGACTGCTCAGACAGCGGGAAAGCTTCCTTTATGGAAAGTAACCAGGGCAAAAGGCTCCAGCTCCCACGGCTGCCGTGCCTGTCCCCCTCCGCAGGGAGCCGAGCTTGTGACTGTGCCTCACTCCTGCCAACACATGCCGTGCCTGCAGCCAGCTGGGAACCTGCTGCCAGCAAGGAGCACTCAGCAGCAACAGTCCCCAGGAGCCTCCCCTGGGCAGTGGGGAGGAGTCCTGAGCTGCCCCAGAGCAGCAAAGCCCCCTCCTCACACCCTCCCTGCCCCCCCGGGCACCCTGAGCGCAGACTGGCAGAGGCACCCAGGAGCCAAGCAGGGCACAGTCCCCCCCAGGACCTGGGTGATGGCCGGGAGGGTGCCCAGGGCTACGGAGCGTGGTGCTGCTCCAGCTGTGCCACCGCCTGCAGCAGGTCCTGCACCGCCAGGTCCACGTCTGCCCGCGAGGTGTGCCGGCCCACGCTGAGCCGCAGGGCGTTCTGTGCCACGGCGGGGGGGATCCCACAGCCCAGCAGGATCGGGGAGGGCCTGGGACACAAGGGGTGGGCGGGTTGGACTGAAGGCCAAGGAAACACACACCCCATCAGGAACCTCCCCGGGCTGTGAGAGGGAGCCCATGTGCTCCAGGCAAAGCTGTCTCCTGTACAGCACCCTGACTGCTGTCCAAGGGCAGCCACTCTCACTGCACTTGTTGCCCTACGGAGGATCTGGCTCTTCCCCTCCCAGGAAGAACCTGTGCCATGTCCCCGTGGGTTGGCAACTCTGCCATATCTAAAGAGCACTGCTCTAGACCAGACCAAAAGCAGCTGCTGTTCCCACCTTCCCCAGAGGAGCCATCTGGAGACCCGAACGGGGCTGCAGTGAGTGAGCCAGACACACGTGGGCATAAGGCAGGCTCCCTTCTGGCAGCAACAGGAGTTCCAAAGTACTTCCAAGCTCAGCTGGATCACCAAAGCCGGGAGGGACAAAGTCCCTCCAAGCAGCAATCAAGCGTTCCAACTGTGTCTCCTGCAATAATCCCCTTCCCAGCCCTTCAGCCCCTCTGGAAAGCTCTGCACTCTCCCTGCTCCAGGTGACACTGCCCAAGCCCTGCACAGGCCCTTTCCCTGCCTTGTTTCCCTCCCTCCTGCCCACTGTTCCCTTGGCAGACCCCGGGCCTGGAGCAGCCAGCGCTTACCGCTCCCCCTTGTCCGAGTGGCAGGCGGCCCCCACGCTGGCCAGCAGCACCTTGCAGTGAGCCAGGACCCTGTGCCCTGCAGGGACACAGCACAGCTCTGCTCTGTGCCAGGGCTACCCTGCCCCATGGCCACCCTGCCCCACAGCCCTGCCCGGTGCCACAGCGGGCACGGGGGCTGAGGCACAGGGGCTGTGAGGGGCAGGGGCTTGGCTCTGTGGGCACAGCACAGGGCAGCACTGGGGGAAGAGCTACCTTGGAGGCCTGGTCCCAGGATGGAGAAGTTGGAGGTGTTGCAGAGTCGCTTGGAGCCCTTAAAGCGACTGTTGAAGTGGATCCTCTCCTTCCCAAAGGAGGCCTGGAGAAATCAGAGGGCTGTGAACTCCTCGAGGTTCACGAGCAGCTCTGTCCTGATGAGGGGGTGGCAGGGCCAGAGGGACATAACCCACCCTGCTCCAGGCCCTGCTCTGCAGGTTGACACCCCAGGAAGGGCCCAGGTGTGCTCACCTCCAGCCTGGCCTCCAGGTAATCCCGGACATCCCGCATATGAGCCTCGTAGGCCTCCCAGTTCTTGCTCACCAACTCTGCAGCCTGAGGGCATAAAATCCCAACAATGACACCTCCCCCTCTGTGTGGTCCCTGGAATGAGAGTCCAGCCTGGAACAGTCTCTGTGATTGCCACTGCCCTGTGTCCCCCATGGCCCCTCGGTGCCCTGAGCTGTGTGACTGCCAGGGCAGCAAACTTGCAGCAAGTGCCCCTAAGCACCTCATCCCACTGGCACCAGAAAGCTCCATTTCCCTTCCCTGTAGTTCTCCTGCCCTCCTGCACCTTAAGTTTGTCATTTCTAATGATCAGGAAGCACAAGTGGCTGTCCCTGTGCTGGTTCTGCCAGGAAGCACCTGCAGGGAACCACTTCAGCCCCGCCCATCACCAGCTCACCTGGCCCAGGCCAGCGATCATCGGGGTGTTCTCGGTGCTGGAAAGGAAGAGGGAAGAGTGAGTTATTTCTCTGGACCAGAAACCCAACCTGTGGCACAGACATTCCCTGGGTGGGACCCCTCAGCACTGGCACCTCCCTGGGAAGGGGGCAGTTCCACTCTGGGGTCCCACCTGTGGCGAAGCCTGAGCCCCAGGGAGTTCCACACATGGATGCGTGTCCCTGCTGCACCGGGCTGCTCGCCCCAGGGCTGGCAGTGACACAGCTGCCAGCTCAGCTCAGATAAGGCAGCCACCTGTGGCTAGGCCACCAGCCCCAGCTCCCAGGCCACCCCCACCACCTTACCCTGGGCGGAAGCTCCTCTCCTGTCCCCCCCCAAAGAGCAGCGGGTGCAGGGGGGCCGTGCTGCCGGGGCCGCGCACGTACAGGGCACCGATGCGGGGGCCATAGAACTGTGGGACAGACAGCACTGTGACCTGGGGACACTGCCAGCCCCTCCTGTGCTCTGGCACACACCCACTGCCCTCCAGGGCTGGGCTGGTCCCACAGGCACAGACCACTGCAGGGCTGTTCCCCATCCCTGGTTCCCTCCTGCTCCAGACAGGGCCCTGACCCTCAGGGTCTGCAGAGCCCCAGCCAGCAGGAAAGCTTCGGCCACTGACAAGGCACTGAGCTGTGGGGCCACCCAAAGTCCCCCTGGCACCCCCACAGAGATGTCTGACAGGGCGAACAGTGGCTGGGCCAGGTGAACAAGGCCTGTGCCCCCCATGGTGAGGAGGAGCCTTACCCTGGGCCTCCCATGGTGAGGAGGGGCCGTATCCTATGCCCCCACAATGAGGAGGAGCCGTACCTTGTGCCCCACGATGGTGAGATAGTCCACGCCCAGCTCCTGCACGTCCACACGCCCCTTGCCGATCATCTGGGCCGCGTCCGTGTGCAGCAGCACCCGGGGCAGCCCCTGCCCCGCCCTGCGCTGGTTGAGGGCTCTGACACGCTGGCTCAGCTCCGCCACGGGCTGTGGAGGGTGAGGGGCTGTGTCCAGGGCCCCCCGCTCCCTGCTCAGGCACCTCTTTGCGGGGCTGCCCCACACTCACCATGATGACGCCGGTCTCATTGTTGGCCAACATGAGGGACACCAGGCAGGTGTTGGGTCGGATGGCAGCCAGGACATCGTCCACCTCAGCCCGCCCGCTCCGCGGGGACACGGGCACAAAGGTGGTTTCTGCGAGCAGAGAACAAGCATGAGGTTTGCTGGGGAGCCCGAGGGCACCCGGGGCTGCCTGCACCCTGCTGGGCAGGGCAGGAGTGTGGGGCAGCAGGTGCAAAGGCACAAAACACGTTCCTGAGGGAATGGGGCACCGCTGGTGGAGCCAGAGCCCTTTTGGGGGAAGGGGAACAGCATGGAGCTCGTAGGTCCCACCCTCCTCGACAGAAATGCCCGTGGAGAGAAGTCCCCCACGCAAACCTCACCCTGCCCCTGTCCCACCCACCTGCCAGGCTGTCCTTGCCCAGCTGCTCCAGGGGCAGGCGGATGGAGTCATGCTCCACACTGGATGTCACGATGTGTGGTGTCCCCGGGCTGTCCCCGGTCTGGCTCTCAAGGAAGTGCCTGCAGGCGGTGTGGATCACCATGTTGTTGGCCTGGGGACAGGAGACAGAGGGACGTGAAGGCCCAGAGGAAGCAGGTGCCCTTTGTCTCCACCGACCCATCGCTGTTTGCTGGGGAGGGGATCGGGGCTCAGTGCTCCCACCTCCGTGCCCCCCGAGGTGAACACGATGTCCTCAGGCCGGGCCCCCACCATCTGTGCCAGGCTCTCCCTGGCTCTGCCGATCAGCTCCTTGGCCTTCCTGCCTGCAGGACAACACCTGGCAGCTCCTGTGGCCCCTGGGCACGGGTCTGGCCCAGGGAGCCCCTCTTGCCCCCCGGTCCTTACCTGCGGGGTGGGCGCTGCTGGGGTTGCCCCAAGCCTGGGTCAGGGCATCCTGCACGGCCTGGGCTGCCTCGGGAGCCAGCGGGGTGGTGGCGTTGTGGTCGAGGTACACCCTCCTGGGGGCAGGGGACAGGTGAGGAGCACTGGGGGAATGGGGGGGGACACACGCAGGGCAGGGTAAGGTCTCACCCCTCAGACAGGTCACAACACGCCTCTGCTGGCTCCGTCCCAGCGCCCATCGCTGCCCACACTGTCTCGTCCTGCTGCCAGCACCGCCGAGGTCCTGCCCTGGCCCCGCCCTGGCACCCGGGCACAAACACGTGGGCAGCACGGGGAAGACCAGGACCCGCCCTGCCTGTACCAACACCCACCAATCAGCTCCCTCCTGCCTGTACCA